GGGAGCCCGATGCGGGACTTGATCCAGGGACTCCAGGATCATGACCTGAGCCGAAGGCAGTCGCTTAACCAACTGAGCCACCCAGGCGCCCCAGCAATTTTCTGATAAGCACCAATGTGGTCATCTGTCACATGGACCCTCTCCATCCCCCAAAGGAAGATGAGGAATCCACCTAAAGACTCTCTGCCCTTCCACCTCAGAGAAGGTGACCTGGCCTAGAACAATCCTTTTATTTTGCTAATAACTTTCTGGCCCTACCCTCCTTCCTATAAAAACCTACACAACATCTCTGAGCTCCTCTCTACTTGCTGGATGGAACGCTGCCTGTTGCATGAATCACTTAATAAAGTTAATTAGATCTTCAAATGTCCTCAGGTGAATTTTGTTTTTTTTTTAATGGAGTCTTTATAACTGTATTTCCCTTCTGTCTACCCTTCCCTCCGGTGTCTTTTGGACGTCCGTTCCTGTGGAGCTGTCTCTCCATTCGTGGGCTGGCATCAGCAACGAGCAGAGCTTGGAATCCTTGGGCTGACTCTTCACATGCCTGATGCACAGCTCACACTCGGGGGTTTTGCTCTCAGTAGTCCCTGCCATTGCCTCGATCCTGCTGTGGCCTCTTCTGAAAAGAGATGATACCATCTTTGGACAAGGACTCAAGGGAAACGGATCCAGGTCACCTATTTTGCCTGAGAAGGCACAGTACTTTTCCCATTGAAAACTTTTACAGTTCTCATTAGATCCCCACCTTCGCATGTGTTTTAGGTGTTTTTTATCTACCATCTCTTTGCTTATATCTTCAGGGTTTCCCCCTTAGCTGGGGTTGAAATTGGAGCTACAGGAATAGTAATGTGACCGGCCACATTTTGAGATATTAAATTTGCAGGTAGTCAGAATTTTGACTCCCGAGCCCTCCATCCTTTGGTGACATGCCACAGTTCTGTTCTATTACATGACGAAAAGACTACAGATGTAATTAAAGTTATGGGCCTTATAATCGGGAGATTAACATGGATTATAGGATGCGCTCAATCTTATAGCAGAGGACTTTCTCCATTTGCAAGCAAGATATATCAGAAGAGGAAGTAAAAGAGATTCACAATGTAGGAGGGACTAGGCCCAGGGCTGCTGGCTTGGGAGATGAAGGGGGCCATTGGCTAGGGCATGTGAGCCCCCCCAGAAGCTGGGAATAAAACCAGGCTGTTAGCGGAGAAGGAAAGGGGGACCTATAGCTACATGGAACTCATTTGTGCCAAAAGTGTAAATGAGCCTAGAAGCAGATGACCACCCATCCCGTCCCCAGGGCTTCCACATAAGAGCCCAGGATGGCCAACATCTTGATTCTGGCCTTGGGAAGCTCAGAGCAGAAGAACCAGCTGAACCCACTAGGACTTCTGACCTACAGATCTGTGAGATACCAAGTTCGGGCTGTTTTAAGCCATTTAGTTTGTGGTAATGTGTTACAGAAGTAATAGAAAACCAGTAAAATAAGTTATTGCTTTTCTCATAATTTCCTCTCTCTTCTCTCCATTCAAACAGGAAGTTGGTTCTGTGTTCTAGTTGTGGGGAGCCATGAGGTATGGAGTGTGCCCAGAATTTGTCAGCACATTTTTCCGGCTTTTGTTTACAGAAATAGAAGATTGAAGGGAAAAGAGGCCTCTGGGCTTGGATAGGATGTCCAAGTGAAGAGAAACCAGGGGGAAAGCGGAGAGTGTCTTCTGAACCTGAGCTATCCCTGGGTTTGTAGGCAGGAGACTGGGAAGGAGGACGAGAGGGATCACCAGAAGGGTTCTCAGGACCTGGTAGCCCAAAAAAGGACCCACTGCCTGGAATGAGCTCAGTGGCCGGACCAGGTGAAGAGCTGACACTGAAGCATTATTGGAAAGCCCACCAATGATGTGAAGCCTGCCTACTGCTCCTTAGCTAGTCCTACATTGTCGGTGCCTCTCTGTTCACAGGGAGAGCCTGATGCAGCCCGCCGGAGGGCCTCCTGAGCCGGGGCAGGTGTGTCCAATAGTCCCTCCCACCCACCCCCTAACTACAACAAAACCGTGGTTCTCGGCCTTCCACGGTATCCGGGGGTGGTAGGGTGCGCTTTCCCTGCTCTCCCAAGTCACGCCTGCCATGGCCATTCGCCTTGGCTTCCCATCTGCCTGAGTGTGGTGCTACTGCTCCCAGGCTGCCCCGTGCTCCCAGTCCCACCTGCTCCAGCCCATGCCGCCCCTGTTTCAGGCCTCTGCAGCCACCTGGGGGCAGAGGGCGGGGCCGGGGGGGTGTCCTCAAGTAACACCCAGGAGCTACGGTTACACACTCGCAAAGTAGCAACACCTCCTGACTTTCTTCAACCTCCAGAAATACCAGCACGGAGCAGGTGACCACATATTTCCATATTCAGACTGAGGCACTTCTTTTTTTTAAAGATTTTATTTATTTGAGAGAGAGATGGTGAGAAAGAGCATGAGCATGGGGAGGGAGAGGGAGAAGCGACTCCCCGCGGAGCAGGGAGCCTGACGTGGGGCTCGATCCCAGGACCCTGAGATCATGACCTGAGCCAAAGGCTTAACCGACTGAGCCACCCAGGCGCCCCCACAGCTCTTTATTATAAGAATAAATTATACAGGAAAACAAGATTCTTCATTTATATTTTCTATAAAGCTGATTTTTAAAAAAAGATTTTATTTATTTGTCAGAGAGCTAGACAGAGAGAGAGAGAACACAAGCAGGGGGAGGGGCAAAGGGAGAGGGAGAAGCAGGCTTCCCGCCGAGCAGGGAGCCCCATGCGGGGCTCGATCCCAGGACACTGAGATCATGACCTGAGCCGAAGGCAGATGCTGAACCATCTGTGCCACCCAGGCGTCCCAAAGCTGATTTTTATTTAATTGTTATCTTTTTAAAAATTATATTTTTTAATAGTGAGGACCACCCAAATCAGAATCTCTTATGCTTGTTAGAAAACCCATTTCTAGGCTCTGCGGATTGTGTGCTCAATTAGAATCATGGGGGACCCCCCCTCCAAGTCTGCATTTTAAACAAATACCCTAGGTGATTCTTATGCATTGTTCTAATTCTTAAGTATTACTTAAATCAATTCTATAACCGTGCCCTAAAAATCACAACAATTTAATTGCTTTCAAAGAACAAGAACAACAAATGTACGGACTGTACTGTTGCAATAAAAACATATCATTAAACAAATAATACGGGAAGATGTGCTAAAAAAAAAAAAAGACAAGAGGCATACTGTCTAAAACCTTTTCTCCTAGTGTGTAAATCCTCTCTTCGCTTAATTTTCACAGGTCACATTGATATTTATGAGTCTATGTGCAATTTCATAGCAAATTAAGAGTAATCATCTGCCTCCTTTCTCTGACTCAGTTTTTATGGGATTGACCCTGCATATATTCAGTATTATTCTTATTGTTGGACTGAAATCCTCAAGGAAAAGCGACATAAAAGCTTTGGGAAAGGCCTTCTCTGTAACCAAAGGACTAACACAAACCACCAGAAAAATCCATCAGTGACGGAGGAAAGTTAAGCTTTGATAAGGTTAGTATAAAATTCAAAACTGCCCCACATCCAAATCTCCCAACCTTGACTCCGAAAAGGGGCTTCTGTGCAATTGCCGACTCCTTACAATTTTCGAATGTGACCTTAAATTTGAGCCTCTCTGTAAGCATTCAAGCCCTGGCTTCTCTTGGCAATAGAACCAATTTAACAATTTAACAACCTGAACAGCCTTGATGACAGAAGTTTGCAAACAGAAGTATTATGAATGGGTTTTGATTTCCAGCTGATGAAGTTGTGCACGGCGCAACTGACAGATGTTTGCTTGTGAAGGAGTTACATATGCCGGAACTACCTTTCCATACATGGTGAGAAAGAAATAGCCATTTCAAATGTACTCTTGCCCCTGGCCATAAACACAGCAAAATCTCAAAAGCAGGAACAGTAAGACAGGAGGATTTAACCAGGGACAGCAAGAGATCTAATGAACAACAATCCTGCCTCCTATTAAGTGAAAACAAATTTAAAGCCATGCCAGGTAGCCAGCTGCCTTTTTACTTTATAAGATCAATCTTTCAACGTTATCTGCCAGAAATCATAACACAAGACTCTAATGTGACCAAATCCAAGCAGAATTGGTGTCAAAAAGCTGTATCTCTTGCTAATTCACATTAGTTACAGGGAATGCACTATGAGTTATCACTAGCGGATCTGTGGACAGACTCATTCAAGGAGATAACAATAGGAAGATCGTCTGTTCATTTATTGTGGCATAGCTATTTGCTTCTAATTAATTATGAAAGTACCACAGGCTACCAGTCAGCATGTGACAGCTGGGGTTTTGTCAAAGCAAAGATATGTCAGTAATTTGAGAAGCTGCAATAACTCTGGTATTAAATTTTTACAAAGAAGTGAAAGGGGAGAGAAATCTGGATATTTTTTGTAAGATCTTTAAGTAAGCATAATATCGAGGGTGCTACAGAGCACCTTTCATCAATTTTAGACTAGGGGCGGAGCCAGATAAAAAAATGTGATGAAATTATTTTTTTTATTAGACGATTTGCTCTGAATGGGTCACCTTTAACAAGCTAACCTCTGTCGCTGCACTTCCATGGGCCACTTGTGGAAGGTAAATTGGCCCAACTCCTCTGGATGGCATTGACACAACATATATGGAGCCTTAAAAATATGTATGCCACGTGACCTCACAATCTAAGCCCTAGGAATTTAATCTAAGCAAATAATGATAAACATAAAGTAAAGATGAATTACAGGGTCATTCATAATGGCTCAGTTTGTAAGAGCCAAGAGTGAGAAGCCACACAAATGTGCTAAAAATGAAACACTGGTCAAACTACGGTGTAACCATTCAATGCACATTTGTAAAGACAATTCAGCATGGAAATCCTCAAGATATATTCCTTAATTATTATTTATTTTATTTAATGCTTTGGATATATTATTTAACAGAAAAGAAGTCTAACCAAATTCTATAGTTGGTAGAATCCAAATGTGTGTGCATTACTGAGTTTTGGTGAATTTCCCAGACCAAGGGTTTATCTTAAGAATGCACCTAGAATGACGGTTGGGTCTGAGCATTTCAAGGGACAAAAGACTCTACAGGGACAGGTGGTGTTTCTACATGTCCAGGAAGGGGTATGTACAAACTCTATTATTCCATGACATTAAATCCCAGCCTGTGGGTTAATCAAGTCCTCCTCTCACCCCTTTTCCACTGCTAGCACCCCACTCACAGAAAGCACTAGAGAAGGGGTCAGAAGTGAGCAACGGCTCTGGTATTGTTACCACTATTTCTTCATATTTCTTCCTAGATGACAAAGGGCATATTATTTAAGGTCAGTGATTTTCTAGTCTTACCATTTTTAAATTTTCTTTATAATAAAATAGTACATATATTTAGACAACGTATGCAAATTTATAAAGTTCATTAAAATATATGCAAGGGACTTCCAGAAGGCTCCAGCAGTATGGAGGACCAAATACCTTGACTGTGTACCTTCTTGCTGAAAACAAGTAAAAATTTCTAAATAAAATACTGAAAGTAGTTTATGACTGGAAGGCCAAAATCCAGT